TTTCTGACTTTGGGGGAAAAAAATATTTAAAATTCTGGTGGTTGCCCAATGATTGCTTTCAATATTTTTGCTGACAATGACAGATGTCAAGAGTTGCAACTGACAACCTTGTCTGGGCGAACACTCAAACACAAGGCTATTGCTCAAGTTGTGGTGGGAGGCAACCTGTCTCCAAATTGACTGCAGTCACTCTCCAACAGATTGGCCAAGATTTGCAAATAACTGGAGTCTATGTTTGCAATGGGGAATATGATTGACTGGTTCCAAACTGACTGAGCCATTTTGCATTTAAATTGCCGTCCTGAAGCAACTGCATCACTATTTATAACTCTTTAGAAATGTATAACTGTCTGTTTTAAATGTATGAGGTTCTGAACTCTTAACGCAAATAGTTCATGTGAATTTCTGTGCATGGAGATGGCAACAGGTTTTGCTGATTTATTATAGTTAATCAGCATCTTATTGATGTGTTGACGCACAAGTCTTGACAGACCAAAGTTGCTTCGAAGACGACAACTGGCTGCGAGTGCTTGCAAACCTGCTCCCAGTCTTCAAAGCAACCATTTCAAAAGGCAACAACAACAATGTTTGGACACGATCACAATAAATTTGTTCCTGCTGTGGTCAACAAACTAGTTTAACTGTTAGCATGCTGACATGCTAAGATCTTTTACCTGAGAGAGAACTGTTGGACTTCTGCTTGTGGAGCTTCTCTCTCTCCTTCTTCCCCTTAGGTATGATCTTAAGCTTCATACTGCTGCTGCTCTTAGTGCTGCTCCTCACTGAGTCCTAAAAATAAGAGATTGATGGGTACACAGTGAGGGATATTTTGCTATGTGAAAGTCGTCAGTGAAGGCAGATGGGCTGCTACTGAGCAACAGAAGTGACACTGTGGCACTTTGCTGGTTGTTAGTCTGCGATAATGCCACGGCTTCTCTCTGACACAAACAAACACTGCATCCCATCCCACCTCCTCGGTGCACTGCATGAGCGGGCAGATCCAGTGGATGTCATCCAGCTTGTGAAGCTCGGCGCTGAGGCTGTTCAAAGTCAAGCGAAGCTCCTCTCGCTCTGGAGACTCAGACTGAGACAGAGAGAAGGTGAAGAAGAGTTCAATTATAAATCAGAATGGGACATTTGACATTTAACCCACTGAAAGTTGGTAAAAAGTCAACACCTGTTCTGTCTCGATTCGTGTTTTTGACCCCTTCTGATTCACAAATGCATAAACACCTGTTAATGTGTCAACAGTGGTTACTTCCAATTTCTTTGAAAGGAAAAATATTTTGTGTATTTTGCTAATATTTTGCTGCACTACCCATCTGTGTAATCATCACATGTTCACTTCATTTCATCTCTCATCAAAACAACTTTACAGAAGTAAAATCCGTATCTGTGGTTCACCATTCAGTGTTAAAGGAAGCGAAAGTTAAACCCTGTTTATTAACTAAAAAATGGCTTTTAGATAGTTCAAAAAAGGAAGCAGATTAAACTGCATCCCCAGGAAATTTGTATCTGGCACTCTCTAACATGTAGACGTGTTAAAGACAGCATCAAAAGAAGTAGAGGTGGGTTGCAAGGCGGCTTGCAGCAAGACTAAAACCACTTAAATGTGCTTTATCTAAGATTTACCAGAAGGATGAGCAGAAGGCTATCATCTGAGCCATCAGCCAATGCTGTCTGGCACCGCCATGAGCCATTCAGCATGCACTAATGTTGTTCTCGGTTTGTCCCTCTAGCTGTGAACAAAGGATTGTTCAATTTGTCCAACTGTGCATGAAGTGCCACCCACAAGTTGAAATGTCTGGACACACCATACAGTCGAGCTGTTCCCACGACAGCTCCGTGGGACTGAGATCTGGTGACTGCACTGGACATAGACCGAATACCAGCTGACTGTTTCTTGAAATAGTTCTTACATAGTTTGCAGCTTTGTTTTGGATCATTTTCCTGTTGTAGGAGGAAACTGGCATCGCCACAGGGTATGGGCTCGTGTTGAAAAATGGAGCAATATCCTCCGTTGTTTCAACAATAATTTCTCTTACACAAACCTTCCCCCCCTCTGCAACCAAACTATTGGATTTCTCCACCATGCTTTAAAGTTATTGTTGAGCTCCTCCAGCACCTATTTATTTGTTCCGCATCTCACAAATGTTCTGTTTTGACCACAACTCCTCAAACTTTAGATTAATGGGTCTGTAAGGCTGGTTTCTAATCTTCCTCCGTCCAGTGTTTGTGTTCTTTCCCCACAGTTTCCTTTTCCATTTATTGGCCAGAGTCAAATTAAGCTTTTTCCTTTCAACTCTGCCTAGAAGGCCATCAGGAAGATGTCTCATCATTACTGCTGACACTGAAACTAGTTATTTACGGGAACTGTTTATTGAAGGTGCCAGTCAAGGCACTTCTCTTTCTGTTCCCGTCAAAGTCAGAGCATGTTTTCTCCAAAGGGAGTTGTTCCTTCTGGTCTTTGTTGAGCCATGCTCTAGTCTTTATTTTTTATCGGGTGTACACACAGGAAGAGCAATGAGAAAAGAAAAAAAAAGGTAACTTGTATCAATGCCGAGCAAAATAAGCCAAATAAATTAACAAGCAGTTAAACTAATGTCAACTTTAAAGCCACATCCACACTGGAAGTGATTTGCAGCGATGTGGTGACCAGAAACTACCAAAACTGAATGAAATGCTGATTACGAACGAAACAACCACCATGATGGGACGTGAGCGGGACCTCAGATAACCAGGTAAGTGCCTGAAGCAACTTCCAGTGAGAGTGAAGCATATATGAAATATACTGGAAGTCGCGATTACTCGAAAGTGACAAGCAATCAGCTTCAAGGAGCAAACTGCTTCCAGTGTTAACGCAGCCTCCTGACTACCAATGGGAATGAACAATACGCCTGACTGACTCATGACAGGGCAGAAAATTTGCTAGAGGGTTACCTACACAGTCAGCTTGATCGTCCAGTAGCGACTAACAGTCAGTATACAGTAGTCATATGCAGAGATCTTATTTTATCTGCTCGTCTGCACAAAGGTCCACTGCTTTAAACTGTGAGATTTCCTTAAAGCTACAGCGAACACAAACTGAACAAACACGTTGAACAGCAGAAGATGAAATATCTGAATGGCTTGAGAGGAAATGAAGGACCGAACGCAAACAAGGAGGGAAACAAAGAACGGAGAGACGAGAGGGATGAACGGCTGAGGCGTACCAGTAGTTTTCCATCGAGCAGCATCCTGGTCTCCGCCTGGAGGACTTTACTGCTGTTAACAATTTCCACTGCAGTGCTGCGACTCAGACACTGAGAAAAAAAAATTCAAAGTGACTGTTTTGAAGACATACGTCGTCCTCGAGGTGACATCACTGATGGAGTTCAGGTTAACAGGCTGCAAATTTAACAGCCTTTACATTGACATGAAATCTGAGCATTTTCTGAAAATCTGGTCATTTTGTGCCATCAATAAACTCCCCCATCTGCTCTCCGCCTCGGTGTCTTACCTCGGGGCTGGACAGTTTGGCCTCTGTGAGCACCAGGGCAGTGGCGTTGACTGCGTGAGCCAACTCCTGCTCCACCAGCTTGTGTGTCTTGGCCGCCTCGCGGATTCTGGGCGGGCACAAAGCAGGAAGTGGTGAGAAAAAACAGAAAAGCACAATTATGGCCGCTGTAGCCTGTTGATACGTACCCGCCTCTGAATTTACTTTCTTTTATTGTCTATTGTATTGCTTCTTTCTCAAATATAACCGGAGCATCTTCTACTGTGCCCTTAAATTATTTGTAACACATCTCTCTTGAATTGAAATTCCCTTTACGGATGTTTCTCCACATCTGAGGCAAGTTTACAAATGTAATTAAAATATTTATCATCCTGAAAGTACGGCAGTTTGGAAACATAACCGAAGACATCATAAACACGGCAAACTGAGACAGGAAGAAGGAGGTGCAGAGGGACACTACTTGTTTGCAAATGTGAAAAAGAGAAATAAAACAGCTCATCAGTGCAACGGAGACAAGCTCAACGCAAGTTTGCAAATAAGCCAGTTAATTGCAGTGGGATGAGGAAATTACCCCTTTATGGTCTCCATACACAGACGGATGCAGCTCAGTTAGACTGAGCTGTTTGCAATGTTTGAATGATATATTTTAAAATAATGTAGAGCGGGCATGGGGAACTCGAGGGCCGGTGTCCTGCAGGTTTTAGATCTCACCCCGGGTCAGCACACCTGAATCAAATGATTAGTTCATTACCAGGCCTCTGGAGAACTTCAAGAGGTAATTTAGCCATTTAAATCACATGTTTTGGATCAAGGACACATCTAAAACCTGCAGGACACCGGCCCCGAGGCCTGGAGTTCCCCTACCCCCGATGTAAAGAAGAGAAGAGAAGTGTTTTTCAGTTTTAGTGCTAAATTTTTGTATTTTTAACATTTTCTTCTGACCACAAAACAGCATCCAACTTTTAAAACCACTGTGCGGCGTCAGCACGCACTAATAAACTGTAGGACAGCTGAGACGAGAAGAAAATCTGAAGCGGTGCCTACTTGTTGATGAGCGTGTCGGCCACGATGCCTAGCTGCTGAACCTGGGCGCACTCCTCCTCGGTCAGGTACTCCATGGACTGCTGGGAGTTAAGGCGGGGCCTGCTGGCGCGGTAGCTGTCGATCTTCCTCTTGTCCTCCCACGACTTCAGCGTGCTCTCAAACGCCTGGTTGTAAAGAGATCAATGTTCAGCCAAGCTAGTGCTGCTGAGCCATCTTTGAAAGAGAAGTCCATTTCAAACAAATCCAAGAGCCACCCGATGTCTGCTTTGAAGGAGTTCCCCCGCAGTTACTGTGCGGTTTGTAGAAATAAATGTCAAGGTGCATTTCATTTCAGGTCTAAGACTAATACACAACAGCAAAGACATCTTTTTAATCTCATGAAGGAGCAAAGGAAGAAAAGTGTTTCATTATGAATTTAATTTAAAAACTCGCCAATAATCGTGCCTCGAGCAGGCAACCAGCAGGGAAAAGATTTACCTGAGACATAACTGTCACTATTTCACTGAATAAAGCCGCATTTAGGGAGGATAAAACCAGCGAGCCAACTCTGTGGTGCTTAAGGAGGGGAAACCATGGAAACAAACTGCCCAAATGTGCTTGGCTCAAGAGAGCTCTCAGAGGTTTGAGCAGCATGAAGGGAGAACAAACACTGGGTATGGATGTGATTTAAGAAATCCCAAAATAGAAAGACTCAACAACACGGGCAGAGCGCTGAGTGTCCAGCTGCAATATTGATGAAAGGAAAAGAGAGTATCTCCAGCCACTGCTGGTTTTAACGTGCATGCCGCAGACATGGGTATGCAAAGTGCAGGTGCAGGTTTTTATGTGTGCGTCAGCGCTCACCCGGTCTCTCGTGAGCATCTGAGCGCGGTTCTTGTGGATGATCTTGACGATGCCGGGCGGCTGGATCCAGGCCTCTCCGTCCACCTGCACAGGAACCCCCTCCTCCCCCAGGATGGTGATCTTCACCTGGCGGCACTGTGAAGCGGCAGAGCAGAAAACAGCAGCTGTCAGATGCGGGGGTTTGAGTGCTTTTTATCAGCTAACCCCTTAAAGTGACCTCCTCTGCCCTCTACTGATGAACACTGAGCAATTCATGCGAAAAAACCAGCAAGTTTAAGGGTTTGAGCTCTTCTTGCACATTTTATACCTCTGGACAGCCCTCAAAGCTCAGAACAAACAACTCTTAATTCCAGTGAAACAACAAGACTTTGTGACTAGTCACAAACCTGTTATTTCTTAGCAGTATTTTTATTACCTGATAGGAAAACAGTTTCCCTTTTCCAAATCACCAAGGCCTGATAATTTGTACTAACCAAGAAAGCTCACCAGCCACAAAAAGATCCTTGTCATTAGTTGTTATTAAATTAGCAGGATTACCCAGCCAAAAGAATTCATGATAACAGCACAGTGGAAATAATACCAGGCCTACTACGTTGAAGTGCCAAGGGCTTTAACTCCCAGTGAAAAACATCTGTTGATAGTTCAATTTTATTTAAGTAGTGCCAAATCAAAATAAGTCACCTCAAGGTGCTTTAAACTGTAGGGTAAAGATCCTGCAACAATTAAGAGGAAGCACTTAGCAAAAGTGGGAAGGAAAAACTCCCTTTTAACAGGAAGAAACCGGCAGAACCAGGTTCAGGGAGGGGCCATGACCAGAGTGAGTGAAAACAAGCAACAAGCTGGTTTTGGGGACGGTGGGCACCTGGCAGATCCCACGGATGCCTTTGAAAGAGGATGACAACAGCGAGAGGAAAAGGAAAGCTCGCCTTTATGTATGTACAGCCACAGGGGGAGAGTTTGGGCTGTGATCCTCCTCCAGTTATTGAATTATTGGTGCACTGGGACGCTCTTATTTAAAATAAATGCCAGTGTATGAAAATATCTTCGGTGTGTAGCTTACTAAAAGACTGTTTTAATCTGAATATACATTTTTAGATTACTCATGTTGCACATTCATGTAAACACTGTGACTCCATATAAATATTATAATTACTCCACGGGATCCTTTATTATCCTTCATGTGACTGTGGAGAGTTTTTATTTATATACAGTAAGGATCAGACCTTCAACTGCAGGTTAAACAAGATTCCTTGAGCTGTTGGTTCAGAGTGGAAATTAAATATTTGCTGCTGATATTTGTCTTTTATTGGTGCAGAAAGTGACGGCCACGGGATTTGATTCCAGGTTGTTTTGTGTTGCTTCCTGTTGCTTCCTGTTATTAAACCTCAACCTCTGATAAGAGCTGATGTGCAGTGTTTGCAGGTCCTGAAATCTTGTGGACTTTCACCTTCTCAGCCAATCTTAACAGTGGTTTCACTTGCTCAGTGTGTCCTTTTGAAGGCCAAACTAAGATGCTGATGTAGAGAAGAGGTTTTAAAAAGGTTCTGTCAGACATATAGAGGTAAGCGTTATATGTGTCTGTGTTACCTGTGCAATGCGATGGTGCTGCAGGTTTATGACTCTGGACATGGCCATCTGCATGCTGCCGAACACCGCCACCACCTCCAGCTTCTTATCATCAAAAGACGGAGCTCCAAAGTTCTGGAGGTGCACACGATAAAATCAAACACCGTCAGCTTCAAATTTAGATGAATTTGAAATGTAAAGTAAAAATTCTGATTTATTTTCTTGTCTTTTCTTTTTACTGAGAATGCTTCTGAAGGCCCGGTTGGACAACACTCACATTGTCCTCCTTGGTGCCTCCCCAGAAGTTGATACCGCCTGCATAGCTGGGGATGTTGAGGACAGCCAAGCCCTGCAGACTCGGCAGAGACATGGGAACCCCGTCACACTGTGGAGAGAGGAGAGGAGATGCTTCAAGACGAGGAAAACTCAGGTTTGCAGAAATCAGCTGACAGACATTTGTTTCCCTAAAGAAAACCGTTGGGTGTGTGCTCATGTACGCCTGTTTTTTACCTCTAGCTGAACTCTCTGCTCTAGGTTCTTGTACGTCTTCTGGACCAGCTCTTTGGTCCCCAGGACTCCGTACCACATCATGTTCTTGGTGCGACTACTGCAGAGGGAAAAGCAAACCAGTCAGGCCTGAACACAATATGATAAACTGATGTGTTGCTTAACAAAGTGCAACAAAAAAACACCATAAAATCTAAAACTGAAGCAATTTAAGCAGATATTCTTCTGCTGTTAGCCTTAGGAGGTCATTACTGGGGGAACTTTGTCATCATGATCGGACGTTTCTTTCTGATATGCACCTTTATTTACTGGCATGATTGAGAATGTCATGGACTAGTAGGTCACATGTAGCGTAATGAACTGGGATCACTGTGGGCATTTACAAAGAGTGCAGTGACAAGATTGCGTGTAAGGTTGAACCCCACAGATTTGATGCGACTGACGCTGATGGATGTGTATTTATGGGAGTTCCTATCTCAAGGTGACACACAATTTAGAAAAAAAGCTAGAAAGCTTATTTTTATTAACTTGACATTGAAATAAATTGACTGTTTGGGGATTGCGCTTACACGTCATTTTGCCCCGTTGGCCCTTTATAATCAGGTTTGTGCGTCTGTGTGTTTGTTGGGTTTTTTTACCTGCATTTTTTCGGGTGCTCGTCTCGTTTGTTGTTGAACTCGAGGGAGATTTTGGCGTCCAGGCCGATGCCGAAGTAGTTGTTCATCACACACTTCTCTGAGCATTGTCTGTAATTATGAAGCATGCAGACGGTTTATTAATACCTGATTTTGTGTGTGTGTGTGTGTGTGTGTGAGTGAGTACTCATGTGCGCGCTTACACAGAGTCCTCGCTGAAGGTGACAGTGTTGAGGCTCTCTGGCTTCTCCAGGACGATGGGAGAGGTGGGACTCAAACTTCCTTGACCTGGATAGAACAGCGGTAATAGGAGAAGCGCCTTTAGATTTAGACTGGTGGCTTTTTTTAAGGAGTGAAGAACCTCCAAAGCTTTAAAGAGAAATCACTCTGTCCACTGCTTTGACTCTTTAATTTGCTAATGCGTGAACTAAGAGCACTTTGGCGTGGCTCGTATCCCTGCTGTGATCAAACTTACGTGGCTCGGCGTCCTTCAGCTCCTCGCTGTTTTCTCTTTTGATGGAGGATGAAGACGACATCCTTTGGACCTGTGTGTGCCGGTTCTGCTCGTCAACCACTGACATGATGATAGACAACCGGTGAACTGCACGCAGCATGCTTGTATTTTACAAAATAAGCCAGCCCTGATGTTGTGCGCTAAATGACGAGAGTAGAACAGCGGCTTACCTTTCTCGGCCTGCTCGATGATCTGCCTGAGCGCCTTCTTCAGACTGTTCGCCCTGAGCATCAGCTGCTCTTTGGACCGGTACGTTTTGTCCTCCGATCCCGGCTCACTGCCACTTTCATCGTGGCTCGAGCCACCGCTCTCCTGGCTCGGCACCGTACCCGCCGGCACCACCTGGATGAAAGTACAAGTAAAAACCTATAAAACCTGTGAAACAGGCCCTGGTATGCTGCTGTTTGATGGCTTCTTTTGTGGGATTCCTGATATTACCCGACTTCCCCATTCAATCTGTTACATTTTACGAGCAGCGGGAGCCCAGCATCACAATATCACCAAAGCAGCAGTGTTCAACCTGAAAGCGTCTTCTCATTCATATTTTTTTACGATCCCTGCTTCGCAGCCCTCTACAGCGGCGCAACATCAGCGAGAGGCAGCAGTTATCATCCTTTAACGACAGAACTGCGGCTACACGCAGAACTTTGAATCAAAAGTAAAAATTCAATGCACTTCCCCTTTTACTGAGCAGAAAGTTTAAATCATGCTGACATTTTGAGGGCTGGGCTGTTTCTTCTAAAGCAATGACATCAATCTCTGGATAAAAGGCTCCACAGGGTGCAGAGGCACAGAAAGCTGGATGATGTTTTGCTCTTGAGATCCATTAGGAAACTTAAAATGTGTGCAAAGCCACCATTTTCTTTTATACTTGACCTCATGTTTCAGACAGTCCTTAGTTTATCATTGCAATCCTTATTTTCTGTTTAGTTTGAATACCTAGACACTGTATGTGTTTATTATTTGCAGTACAAATACTGCTTTGTTTGTTTTAGTAATTCGTCAGTTCAAGACTGGGAGCAGACACTGACTGGGAGCAGACACTGACTGGGAGCAGACACTGACTGGGAAGGGAGAGACTATAATTAGGGGGAGACGACATTATCATGCATAATTATGAAGCAATCAATCACAAACATTAGGCTGTTTTTCAGTCTAAGCACTTTCATGAAGCAATAAAAATTAAAAGTAAAACTTTTGAGATGAAGGCAGCCGTAATAAAAATGTCATTTATTGTAGAAAAAACTCTTCTGTTCAAGGTTAAAATGATCTTCTTGTGGCTTCTAGTAGTGGACTCATCTCTGTGTTTGTTCCACTAGATCTCAGTGCTACATTGGATACTGCTGACCACAATATTTAAATACATGCATCAGAACATACTGTAGGTATTACAGATACTGCACTTCAGTGGTTTGTATCATATCTATCTAACAGACTCCAATGTGTTCATGGAGAGTCTTCTTCACACGCTGAGGTTAATGATGGAGTTCCACAGGGTTCAGTGCTAGTACCAATTCTGTTTACATTATACATGCTTCCCTTAGGCAGTATCATCAGAAGGCCTAGCACTGCAGATGACACCCAACTTTATCTGTCCATGAAGCCAGATAACACACACCAATTAGTTAAACTACAGGAATGTTTCCACTCACTACTACTGAACTTTTAACATTATACAGATTCAAATGATGGCTGTTCAAGGACAGAAGGGAGCAGAGACATTTAAAAAAAGAAGCATTTATAAAGCTGTTAGGATAGAAGTAAGAATAAAATCAAAGTAGTGAAGGAACAGCGGTGGATGGTTACATAAGTGAGTCAAAACCTACAGGAACCCACATGCACGTTATTAAACTAAGTACTCTGTGGGAACTGTAAACATGATCTGGGTATAAATGGTTGTGTTATGTCATTGTCAGTGTGGAAATGTTGGTGTGTTTGCACAGTTGTCACACTTGTTGTCATTACCTGGGCTTCAGCTTCCTCACTTAAGGCCTTGACGAGGGAATCGAGCTTCTCGTTGAGCAGCGCACACTGAGAGAGGAACAGAGAGGGAGATTTTCATTATCCGCATTGCTTTCTTTCTCACTTCAAAATCACACGAGTGCGGTGTAAATTTGGACATGCAGTACGCATCACTTTGAAATCGTCACTCTGTGAGGCTGCAGCAACACCTCAAACCAGCGTGAAAGCAATACTCGCTCTGATTTGGTGCACACGGGACTTTTATTTGGAGACTTGTGAGGCATCAACGCTGCTTCGCAGTATTTGGAAAAAGGCGGGTAAGTCAGAGGGTGGAAGTTTAATAGATTTTTCTTAGTTTTTTAGAATCTTTTACTTCTCTAAGTGATTTTCTATGCAGAGACTCGAGCGGAATTGTTGTATTCAGGGGTTGTAGTCACGTGATCATCATCTATGTGGCGTTAACTTGTCCACCATCAGGACAACAGACTGGATGCAAAAGAAAACTGCGTGCAACCAGCATTTGGTGAGTCGTGGTGAGCGTTTGCAGAAAACTTTGCAGCAAACTACGACCAAAGCAGCTTTTTGGTGCAGCACCCTGTTTGCAACTGATTTCACCTAGCAACTGTAAACAACCTCTAGCAACTGTTTGCTAACTGGGAATGCATCAGACGGTCACTGACCGCTCTCTAAGCCTTTATATCTGAAGTGAGTAATACACCTGCTAAACATTAAACATGATTAAGGTAAGGACTCATTTACGGACTAGGATCTTGCCCAAGGATGCTTTGGCACGCTGGCAGGAGGAGCTGGGGATCGATCCCCCAATTGGTAGAAAACTCACTCTACCACCTAAGTCGCCCTAAAATGATGTGAAAACTGGGGGTAAAATAACAAAAAAAACAAAGCAAGTGCATCCAACACCCTGTTAGACTTTTGAATACGTAACACTAGATCAGACACAGCAAGACCTGAAATTTCTGAATTTAGATGTTATCCCGTCGTTGTATCCTATTAAGTCCCAAATAAACGAGAAGCAGCATGAAAATGATCAAAGCATGAGTGGGTTAGAGTCTTTTGTGCAGACAGCGAGGAGTGACTTTGACTCCGTTTTTAATGCTTGCATTCAAGACTTCCAGCTTCAGTGTCTCCATTTATTCTAATGAAGAGTCAAATAATTCAGCAAGAAGAAAACATGAACCGCCAAAGGCGCAGAACACTAAAGGAGGGAGTGATAACACTGAACCTTCAACTATATTTCACACTCTCAATTATACGCACGCACACCTACACTTGCCCACTAGTTACTGTTATACAAGCTCTTACATAACCCACGCGGCTGCACACAAAACCCATTTACCTTCTTTGCCATGGCATCTGCCTCCTCCTTGTTCTCCGTGGCTCTCTCATACGCCTTCCCCACCTCCGCCACAAAATCATTCACCGTCCCACACAGAAATCTGAAAAGGCGGGGGGGGGGGACGACGTGAAGGTGAAGGTTAACGTGATTAACACAGAGAGTGAAACTAATTATACGGCTAACAAGTTTCAGATTGTGTGAGTCACTGTGCGGTTACTGAAGATTACACACACACACACACTCTTGCTTTATTGCCACCTACCTGCCTGTCAGCTACGTCGCCTCCACACAGTCACTATTTACTCACAGCTGTTACATTGCCGCTGCATGACTCAGCAGGGAGGCCTCTCCAAATTCTCACAGTGCTCGTCGTGCTTTTTAGCAAATATTGGATGCTGAAAAATGATCGCCTCTCGCCTTCTACAGAAACACGCAGTTTGTGTCCTCCAGTGCTGCCCAGACTATTTATTTTACTTCTATATTAGATGTGTGGAAATTACACGTCTCATCGCACCTTTTTAATGAATTTAAACGTCATCCTTGAAAGGTAAAGCTTCTAGTGCTGATGAATATCTATTCAGCTTCACCGGTGCTACAATCAATCACGTGCAATGGCTCAGCAGCTGCAGGTGACGCGCCAATAACGGTAAAGATGTCACTAAAGGATAGAAGATACAACTTTATCTGGAAGCTCTTTTTAAGGTGTAACTGCTTTTAAGCAGAGCGCCCAGAGGCTCTTACAAGATGTTTGCCAGGTGGTGTTCAGATTAGTCAGATACAGTTACTCCATAGATTATGCTTTTGTAAACTTTCTTCTCATAGTACTTTTATAGTGTGGCGGTTTACACGTTCACTTAATACACATATCATAGAACTTTTGGTCCCCTGACATATGTCTCTATGTATATCATATGTTTCTATAAAACAGCCACTATCTGATGTGTGATTAAAAAAAGGTCCAAAAACTTCATTATGTTTAAATTTTAAAATTTAGTAAATTTAGGGAAGTTCCTGTTTCTTCCTGTTAAAAGGGAGTTTTTCCTTCCCACTGTTGCCAAGTGCTTGCTCAAAGAGGTTGGTTTGATTGTTAGGATTTTCTCTGCATACTGTAGGGTCTCTACCTAACGACATCAAACACTATGAGACCACTGCTGGTGTGATTTGGTGCTTTATAAATAACTGAACTGAATCTTCCCTGCACACCTTGGACGTCCAAAAGCAAAAATCAACTTCTGTTTCAAACTGATCCAAATTTGTGTGGAGGATGATCACTTGCTGTCACCTCAGAGCAAGAAGGTCCTGGGTTTGAATCCACCACCTAGCACCTTGAGGAGTTTGCATGTTCTCCCTGTGGCTGTATCGGTTCTGTCCGGGTATTCTGAGCTCCTCCCACAGCCCAAAGGGTTAACTGGCAATTCTAAACTGGAAGTTTGTGTAACGGATGGCTGTCTGTCTCTCTGTTAGCTCTATGATCGACTGAGGACCTGTCCAGGGCGTACCCCGACTGTCACAGGGATAGGCTCCAGAGTCCTTTCTACCCTTAATTGGATAAGTGAAAGAAACTGGATGAGGCATCACTTGTGACAAGAACTAGGTCTCTAGATATGAGATATTAGTTTAAAAGAGCCCAAAATGTTGCATTTCAGGCCCAACTTGCTGGATTCGCCTCCCTGTGACTTCATCAACTTTGAGAATTTAAATGCGTTGCAGCCAGCATCACAGAGGCACAGCTAACAGACTTCAAGGGAGAGATTTAAAAATCAAATCCACAATGAAAGAAGTCCAGAGGTGCACCAGGGGATGATCCTGAAGGAGAGTCTAGTTTAACTGTAAACCAGCTGAGGTTTTAGATTTTTGTGTGCCAAATCCCAGAACTTTCTCGAACTTTCTCGTAAATAGCACACTTATTTGTCTCTACTGTCCCTGGCATGTTAGTGTGAGATCATTGTTAATGTTTAGAGGGCTCCATTAGAGTGTGACAGCAGGCTTACATTACTTACTCCTCTAATGGCTTCGCTGGCAGAGTGACATCCCATTTCTTACATTAAGTCCCGGCCTTGTGCAGGAGCTACACCAGACTCTTCTATGAGTTTTCACTGATAGTAAACTCAGGGTGAGAACAGTACCTAGCTGAACTCCATAAATATTATTTTAATGTCATTTCGTGCTTGAATTCTGTTCACACATCAAATCCTGTTAAAATTCTGTTTGCTGCTTTAAAGTTTTTTAAAAAGAAG